CGCCCTCGTCAGCCCGTCACATGGGTGCCATTGGAAGCTCTCCCTGATCCCTTCCCTGGCCGCAAAGAACACGGCTTAGCTCCCTCACGTATTAAGGCTACAGGGGCTGGACTAGTAAAAATCAATAGCTACGAACGCTTCCCGCTTAACACGACACAGATCTGGGACTTTACGTTCCACGGAATGAAAACAAACACAGAAACAGGATTCGAGTTACTCACCCAGAGTGTTCGGAGCTGAAAGGAGGCAAGAACAGTTAAACCCTGACCATTCCTGAGCTCGTTCTGGATGCTACTCACCGAGGAGGTACTGCTACAAGACCTGCTCCTGCGTTTCCGGCAGTGGTGCTGGTATCTCTTCGGACGGTGCTGATCCCTGCCCCTGGATCGCCGCCAGTTCCGCGGGCGCGTCGAGTAATAGTCGTCCCCGAACGACGGGCTCCGCTCTTCGAACCTGTAGGCATCGCTGTCCCGCCGGCACCTCCTGTGGTAAGGCATCCTCTCATGGCTGCAGCACAAACAACAACGCTGTTATCAGCCTGGAAAAGCATGGAAGGCCCAGTCCTGCTGGAACTAAGTCACAGAGTATCCTGAGTTGGAAGGGAGCCACGAGGATCATCGAGTCCAACTCCTGGCCCTGCACAGGAGTCCCACCATGACCCTGAGAGGGTTGTCCAAATGCTCCTCGAGGTCTGTCAGGCTTGAGGCTGTGACCACTGCCCTGGGGAGCCTGTTCAGTGCCCAACCACCCTCTGGAGGAAGAGCCTTTACCTCCTACCCAAGCTCACTCCCCCAGCACAGCTCCCTGCCGTTTCCTCAGATCCTCTCACTTGGTCACCAGAGAGAAGATGTCCTCCTGCTCCCACTCCCTGTGGCAGGAACTTCAAACCCTCTGCTGTGCCTCAAATACTGACCCCTATGGAGGTATGTAAGAGAAAACAGTGTGGCATCCCCATATTTCAAGGAGCTGGGGGAAAACCACCATCAGAGAGTTCTATCTGAGCTGCCTACCTTGTTGTGGACTCCCACCCTACGAAGTGTTCAAGGCCAGGTTGGATGGAACTTGGAGCAACCTGGACTAGTGGAAGGTGTCCCTGCCCATGGCAGGGGGTGGAACTGGATGAGCTTTAAGGTCCCTCCAACCCAAACCATTCTGGGATTCTATGATTCCACCTCACCTAAGCCACCTCTGCCACCACACACAAGTGTTTGTCATCATTCCTCCTCCCTCAGGAAGGTCTCTCATTAGTTCTTAAATAAATGAGAACTAAACCCAGCAGCAGGGCTCTAGTTGTCACCCCAGGGGGGGCTGGAAGTCCCAAAACACTGAGTCCTTGGTGAACACACACACACACACACCAGCTCCACAGATCATTAGAAAGAGCCAGAAAGAAAATTTGCTCTCCATAGTGCAGCCAAGCACCTGCCCTGCTAGCAACAACCTCCCAGCATGTAAGGAAAACCTTTGGACAAGCTCATCTCTGCATCAGAAAGGAATTGAAGTCATCAGACAAAGCTCACCTTTGACATCACACACGAGGTTTTGGGTACCACGTGGGCACATCAATGATGAGAGCAGCCCTTCCTGCTTCTGCCCCCCAAAGCACAACTGCCTTCTCCACCCCAGCTGGTCTAACCAACCAGACCTCACCGCCAGTCTTGCTTCACACCTCATTGAGAAAGAGGCTGTGTTTTAGGTAGAAGATGTTGTAATTCTGAAATCAAAGTAGTGCCCAAAATAATCCTGGGCATGTGCCAGGCCAGGTCAATGCTGTCACCCAGCAGTGGCCTCGCTAACCAAGACCTTCAGCCCAGAAACAGGAATTTTTGCTATTTGCATCTCTCTGCCTTGTCAACAGTCACTGACAGCTTAACAGGACACAGGTTTGAGTGTGGGGGTTCATCTCAGCATGGATCCAGAGTAAAATTCCAGACTCTGCCAAGGCAGCAGTGGCTCTCGGTCATTGCTAAACCACCCAAAACACAAACCATGTGGCTCTGCTCCAACATCGATCTATTCACCAATTCATCATTGGTGAAACTTCACTGTGCACTTTGGACAAACACAGGAAACAGAATAACAACCTGACGGACTCAAAATCAGAGGACACTTGAGGGGCTGAGTCTGAAACTAAGGGATAAGACTGTTTTCACCCAACAAAAGCCTATTTCCATCCAAATCTGTCCCAAATTACCCATCAGATGAAAAAATGGAAAAGTCCATTGCGTGCGCCAGCTGTGTTTCGCAATCTGCTTCCTTCAAGCAAACAAAAGCCAGGCTGAGGAGAGGAATTAACGTAGGGAACATTTAAAGATGAGCTCAGCTCCAGCCTGGCTGCACCTGCCCAGTCCAACCAGTGGAACCACAGCAGCCTCAGTACCAACAGCCTACTCTGGTCACACACTGCAACATGGCTCCTGCCTCTCTTCCAGAACCCTCCTCTCATCAGAGGCCTTATCCCGCTTCCAGCACCTAATTGTCCCTGTGGAAACGCTGAACAAAGAGAGGATCAAAGGTAAAATCCAGAACCAAAGCAAGAGAGGTCAGTTAGTGGTCGGATCCTTTAGCTGGGATCCTTTCTGAGGTGAGGGAGGAGCGTTGTTACTTTAAATTGTTGTTTACTTTAAATCTGATTTTAATCCTGTCAGAAGGAAGTGGGTTGTTGGGAGAAAGGCTTTAAGGCCTCCGCAGCGTGGAAACGTGATTCCAGGGCAGGCTGTTCCCTCGCTAATATTAAAGCCATATCTTTGGGAAGAACTTTAGCGTAGCAGGGAAGACACGCGTGCACACGCACACCCACCCACACAAGTAAACCCTTCGCTTCCATCCCTGGGATTTACAGGTTTAAAGCCGACCTGTAGTCAGGAGATGAATGCCAGCTCGGCAACATCAGCGGGATCAGGACGAGGGTTTACTGGATAACCCACCCAGAAGCGCTCCTACCTCCTGGATCGCGACCGCCGGGAGAGATCCCTGCGGGGAGGGTACCGCAGCCTGCCCTCGTATTCCCTGCTCCGGGACCGCCTCCGCTTCCACCTGTGTCCCAGGTCGCTCTCCTGCTCCGGGGACCGGAACCTCCTGCAGTGATGCATCTGCGGGGACAAGGGGATTCCAGGTCTTACACCCCTCACCCATGGGCGCTGCATGAGGCGGGCTCGGCCCGGGGGACAGCCGGCCCTGACAGAGCCCGCCCGGGGCTCGGTGATGCCTCAGGGCGCTCTGCAGCCGAGGGTCCCGCAGGGAGCGGGGGTTACGGGGCCGTTACCCGGCTGGGCCCGCCCGGGACGGCCCATTCCCCGCCCGCCTCCCCTCGTGTCCCTGCCGTGTCCCCCGGCCCCGCTCCCCCCGCGTGTCCCCGCGGCCTCACCGCCAAACCCCGGCCGCGCTCGGCGGGTGCGGCCCGGCCCGGCCCGGCCCAGTTCCTGCAGCCCCGCAGCGCCACCGCTTCCGCTTCCCGGACCGGGGTTAAACCCGCCCCTCAGGGACGGGGCGGGGCGGGACCGGCCTTGAACCCGCCCCGGAGGGACGGGACGGAGCGGGACAGGCCTTGAACCCGCCCCGGAGGGTTAAACCGGGACTGGAGGCGGTGGGAGGAGGGTGATCCTTCGCAACGCTCTGGCCCCTCATGCCCCACCGTGGCCTCCCTCACTGCAACCATCCTCACCCTCAACACGGCTTCCTTCCCGTGGTCTTCCTCCCTGTAGTCTGACTCACCATGGTCTTCCCCATTGTGGTTTACCCCACTGTGGCCATCCTCATCCTCCCCATGGTCTTCCTCTCCAAGGTCCTCCTCACCATGGCCATCCTCACTACGGCCTCTGTCACCATGGCCTTCCCCATTGCAGCCATCCTCACCCTCACCATGGCTTTCCTTGCCATGACCTTCCTCACCATGGTCTTCCTCACCGTGGGCATCCTCACCATCAGCACGACTTTGTCCTTGTGGTCTGACTCCCTGTGGTCATCAGGGCCAATATCACCTTCACCATGACCTTCCTCTCCATGGCCATCCTCACCTTCCACACAGACTTCTTCCCCAGGGTCTTTGTCCTCACAGTCTGCCTCACCACAGCCTTCCTCACCATAGCCTACCTTCACCACGGCCATCCTCTTCCTCAGCATGGTCTTCTTCCCTGTGGTCTGCCTCACCATGACCTTCCTCATCATGGCTTATCTCACTGCAGGCCTTCCTCACCACTGGGCCTTCCTCACCATGATGATCCCCACAGTGACAACCCTCACCATGGCCTTCCTTGCCATGGTGACCCTCCTCATGGTCTTCATCACCGTGGCCTGTGCACTGCCTCCCCCAGTGGCCTCTGCAGACAAGCTCCTTCCACCAGACGGGGCTGGGAGCTGGGATTGTCCCATGGGTCACAGCCTGGGGGTGAGGACCTGGTGGAAGAGTTTCCATGTCCAATTAGCCCACTTGGAGAGGGGCCTCAGACCTGATAATTCACTAATTAGCACCAGGCAGGGGTTTGCTCTCTCCCCCCCCTCAAGGTGACCTCCCTTCTCACCCTGGCCACTGCTCCAGAGGACGTGGTGGACCACGGACACTGCTGGCCCATGGGTAGGACAGAATTCCAATGACTCCACACATGCAATTATCCCTGACCCCTTTATTTGTTTATCAACCATTTGTTTGGGTCAGCAATTAATTAAAAATGCCAGTAGACACCTTTGTCACCAGGTGATATCAGCATGTCCTCGTGGTTCCTCTCTCAGGTGTGTCCCAGCTCAGGGGGCTGAATGGGAAGGGTGGGCTGGTGATGGTGGCTTGGAAGGGGCAGTAGATGCAACCACTGTGGTGGCCATGGGGCTCTCTCAGCTGGGTGATCTTCCCACCCATCTCCTGCAACGGCCAAGATTCCGTGTGTAGTCACCGAGCTGGTGATGGTGGACAGAACAGAGAAAGGCTCCTCTTCTCTCCCCAGTGTTGAAGCCACCTCAGACAGGCTCAGTCCCCTCCAGAGCCGTTCAGGAAGGGTTTATGCCGACCACCACTCATCTCCAGTCCTGGAGTTGGAGCCCAGACTTATCCCACAGTGATGTGCGGGTGAGACCTCACCTCTCCATGGCTCAGAGATCCCATTTGGCTCACTCCTGTGGGCAAGCCCTGTCTGTGGACTGTGGGCAGGATCAGGGGCTGGGGGTGTTGGGCTGGATCTGGTGCCACTGCGCTGACTCCAGTGGTCCCTGGCTGCACATGTCCCTCCAGTGAAGCAGCCCGGTCCCAGGGGCACGTGGCCCCACCCGCACACAGCCCAGCACGGAGCCACGGGTGTGGAGGCGAGCCTGTGGCAGGAGAGGGGAAATGGGACATGGCTGGTGGCTTTGCATCATCCCAAAAAGAGTGATCCCACCCCAGCAATCTCCTGTGGGCATCAAGAAATGGCTCCTCTGGGGGCTGAGCCCCCCAGGTGCAGGAGCACAGGAGATCCAGGTGACCTTCATAGCCACGGTCACCTCCATCCACCTCACCTGCATGACAATGAACTCCAATGCCAGCTCTTGCTGCTGGATATCCCCAGCAGGGATGTTGAAGAGGAAAGGTTTGTTCCACACGGGGTTGTAGCCGCTGATGGACTTGGTCTCCTTGGTGTCGATGACACAGCCATTGTGGTACAGGTGGATGATGATGTAGTGACCTGGAAACAGAGACAGAGCCATGGAGAGAGGGACCTGCTCTAGTCACATGCCAGGGAGGGAGGCTGGAAGTTCCCCAGCTGTGCCAGGGGGGCTACAGAACCTCTGTGGAACCACGTGAAGAGCACAGACAGCTCCTGAGGTTTCATCTACCCCTCTGGGGTCAGGAGCAGGGACCTCTGAAGTCCTCAGCTCGCATCCCTGCCCACATCCCAGGCTCCAGATGGGCAGGGAGAGCCAGAGATGACAACACCCAGCAGGATAGAAAGCCACATGCTAATTTTTGACCATAAATATTGTAAGCATTTTGGGGCCATATTGGGAATATCTAGATCCTAACAACTACGCTTCCTCTGCTCATTTTCATGGAATCACAGAAGGGTTTGAGTTGGAAGAGACCTTAAAGATCATTTTGTTCCAACCCTCTGCCATGCTTGGAAAAGAGAAGTTCAAGAGGAACTAAGACAATCTGCCATGCAAAAAGAGAAGTCGTTGCCTGTGCCCACCTGGGCAATTCCTCACCTCCTGGTCCATGTCCCGTGTCCTACCTGGCGTGCCTGGCATGCGTGAGAGCCGGCCCAGGTCCTGTGCCTTGCGGACCAGCACCTTGATGCGGCTGGCCAGAGCCTGGTACTGGAGGAGAAGGAAGAGCTGCCCAAGGGATTTGGGCGATGAGGAGAGGACGCTGCAGCTTGTGTCGTGGGCTCTGAGGCACTGGAATGGGAGGAGAGAGCAGGAGACGCCGTGAAACTTTCTCCAGCCTCATCTTCCAACTCAGTGACGCTTGTCCCCCCATCAAGGTCAAGAATGGGCAAAAATGAGTTACGAATGGGCAAAAATGAGTCAAGAAGGAGGATTTGATGCTCACCATCACTGCAAGGATGGTGCCAGCTCTGCATTTACCCCTTCCACCCCAGCACTTCCTGAATCAGAGGTGCAAAGCCCCTGGGCGGAGACACTGACATGGACTTGTACCACAATGGAGCCCACCACAGGGATAACTGGTGACGCCTGAGGAGGCTCTGGCTCTTCCCGTGGAGTTTTGGGGCTCTGAGACCAAGCAGACCTCAGCCAAAACATGAGGACAACCCCCTGCTGGAGACTGCTGCCATCCTGACCTTCCTGAGCTTGGTTTTGGTGCTCGCCAGCTCCCAGGTGTAGCCGGAAGATGCCCAGGGATCCCAAGAAGCCTGGGCGCAGGGGAACAGGACCTCCCCCACAAAAGAGTCCCTGAGGCTACGCGACCTGGCGTAGACAGCGAAGCGCAGGGTGAAGCTGCTCAGCTCCTCTGGGCTGTATGGGCCGAACCGGCACGGCTCCAGGGGGGCAGGGCGGAGGCTCCGGCGGCACACGGCCACGCGCTGGCACACCGGGAGCCGCGGCACCAGGTACACCTTGACGTAGGAGCCCTGGTCGTCCTGCAGCCCCTTGGGCAGGCGGGAGACGCCGAGAATCGTCACGGTGAGAATGGCCTCGGGTGGTGAGTAGGACAAGTCGCAGTGGAGCCGGGGACGCTGCTCAGAGGGCAGTGGGGATCCTGCGACGGGGTGGAGCAGCGGGCTGTCCTTGTTGTGGAGCAGTTTGGCTCCAGAGATGGTGCAGCGGCGCTGCCACGCTCCCGCCAGCTGCGGGAGGAAGGGGAGAGTGGGCAAGGATGCTCTGACACGGAGCGAGCTCCCATGGGATGCTGGTGATGCCAAGGAACCCTCTTTTGCCCGAGCAACCACCACCTCTCCTGCCACCTCCTCATACTGTTGCTGGATGGGCACTGGCACAGTCATGGCAGGCAGAGCAGGTCCCAGCTCCATGGCTGCCCGCTCCCGGCTGGGGTGGGGACTTGGGTGCTGGCGGTGCCACCAGCACATGGCACAACCCAGGAGGATGCTGAGGCAGAGGAGGGACAGTCCTGCACCGAGGAAGATCTGCAGATGCACTGAAGAGAGAGAGAGGGCACCATTAGAAGGATGGATCTCGCCAAGGCTGCACCAACGTGACTCTCCGTGGGTGCTGGAGCACTGGAAGGAACAACAGCTGGGAGTTCACATCCCCTGGGACCCACCTCCCCTCTTTGTAAACTGGGATTGAGCTGGAGCATCCCAAAGCCAGAAGGTGGGAGAGGAGCTGGCGGGGCCACTGCCGTGCTCGGGCAGCCTGACACCAGTCTGAGGCTAAAACAAACCCAGCCTCACCCTGGGAATGATAAGGACCATGGAAAACACAGGAATTATCAGCCCTGCTGCCAGGCTGACGCAGTTTGGGAATGATTAGCACCACGCTTGGTGGGGGGCACAAAGGGCATGAAGGAGAGCAGAGGCACTTGCAAGGGAGGATTTGGGGTGTCCGGGCTGGATTCAGAGTAGCAGTGGACCCTGAGGTGTGAGACACCCAAGCCTGGCCCTGAAAGAGGGGAACCTCCTCCCCCAGCTGTGCCCAGAGGACTGAGATTCTGCGGGCGGTGAGCTGGGCTTTATCCCTCCCAGCAGGGATACCTGTGGGGTTTGTGGCCCCCTGGCAGGGTGGCATCCCTGCACACTGGGCATTTAGGGAGCAGGGAACCAAACTACTGGACATCAGGGCTAAAGTTCCTTAGGAAATGTGCGTTTCAGAGGTGGCATCTGCGTGGTTGCGCTGGGAAAAAACCTCCCTGCGCCCAGAGCTGGCTTCGCCTCCAGCCCTGGAGGGAGGGATTAAGGAGAGCAGGACCTGGACAAAGCTGTGCCGGTGCCTGAGCCGGGTTCCATAAAGGGATGGGGACGTTTGAAGGAGAAAAGCAGGCATTGTCTCACCCCACCGGGCTGGGTTTCACCCCCCAGGTGCCTTAATCCGCACTGGGCTCTCCTCAGCCCTTTGTTGTTTGTTCAGGAAGCCAGGTTGTGGCTGGGATGAGCGCTGAATGGCGGCATTTAGGGAGGGATGGAGGGAAGGGGGCTGGGATGTTAACTTGCCTGAAGGATTATATTCCAGTCCAAACAACGCCTGCCGATGCCTGCGGCTGTCCAGCCCCAGGACAGCGAGTTGGGAGGGCCGGACACACGCGGGTCTGCAGGGCTGGGGGGAACGGGAAGGTGCATTGGACCCCTTGGAGTGCCCACTTTGGGGAGCTGGGGCAGCTGAGCTGAAGGATCCTGTGCATGGACGTGCTGCACCTGGCTGCAGGGCTGTCCCTGGGCTGCAGGGCTGTCCTGGACTGCAGTGACCACCACAGAGTCCCCTTGTCACCTGAGACCCGGTGTCTGAGCACTCCTGGATCCAGGGAAGATCTCTCTCCAGCCCAGCACCTTCCCCCCTCCGACCCTAAGGCTGCGGGTGGCTAAACCCCATGGCAACAACACACCGAGGATGGTTTTCCACTCCCCACTGCCAGACCCCACCTTACCTGCCTCAGGCATCGGGCTTGTAAGGAGAGAGGTGAGGGCAGGTGAGTCCTTGAGCTGCCTCGGCCGCATTCACGCAGGGAAAGCCGGGAAAAGCCAAACCCAGTGGTAGGCAGGAGGGGAGGGAAGGTGGGGGGAAAGGCTCTGCCTTCACCTGCCTGCTGCTTGGATAGGCTGGGACCAGAGCCCAGGTGAGGCCGGCCGCTCTTACTGCTGGGGGGGGGGCTCACCTGCAGCCAGGTGCTGATGGAGGGGGCAGGCAGGCAGGACGGGAGAGGTTCCCAATTCCATTAAGTGAGTTCGGTGGGAGGATGGGAAAGGTCATGGGCTCCATCCCCTTCCCAGGACCCAGCGGACACAAACAGGCCCCCAGTCAAAACAACTGCAGATATGGGGCATTGGAAAGGCTGATACAGAGGGGGCTGGAAACCAGCTCCTTTCCCCCTGCCAGACTGGTTCAATGACTGGAAAAACAGCGTCCAGGTGCTGTGCAAACAGCAAAACTAGTGGGAAGCATTAAATGTCCTTTTTGTGGGGAGGTGGTGATGACAGGAGAGGGATTCGGGAGACAGGCTCCTGCCCCAGCCTGGGTAAGGGACATGGGACAGGTACAGCAGCTTCAGCAGCACCTGGGAAAGGAGATGCCATATGGTTTCTGTCAGTATCCAACCTGGAAGCTCCATCATTCCAGCCCACAGGGATCCAGTTCATTCCTAGCCACCATCCCTAAAAACATCCCACCAGCCCAGCTCCAAACTGGGAGCCCAAAGCCCCTGCAAGGATCCAGACCCCAGCTAGGCTGACCTGGCCTCTAGGAATAATTTCCTGGGATGAAAAAAGGGAAATCTTTAAATTCAGGGGGACAGCCAGGGGCACAAAACAGGCTTGGGGGTCACGGTGTGAAGAGGTAGAAGTTTATTGGAATATAAACATTCAGATAACCTGTAAGATAGAAAAAACCCAACAACAACATATACAGACACTTGTTGGAAGGAGACGTTGAGGTATTTATCCACCGCCTAGGCTATCACATTTGTTTTTATTTACTTATTTTATTATTTTTTTTAAATAGGTAAGAAAACTAGTAGCAAGGCTGCTGCAGCTGTTTGGAGAGAACATCTGATCCCAATCCCTTCGGAGCACACACACACACACACACATGCACGTGCAGTGGCCAAAAGGACTTGGTGTGACACGTTCACATTCACTTTGGGAGCCGAGCAGGCACACACAGCCTCTCCCCCTTGTCCCAATTTTTGTGCCTTCCCAGCATCAACTGGGAGCTGCCTGAAGCAGGCTTGGTTTGGTTTTCCCAGCTGGCAAATCTCCCCCTGGAAACAGGAGCATGGAGGCTGCACTGGAGCAAGCTGGGGGCTGTTTTCTTTTTGGCTGCTCGCTGCAAAACCTTGGCTGGTGTGGAGTTGGGAGAGGATGGAGCAACACTGCAAAGCGGAGCACTTCACACAGGAACAGTCCTACTCGCAGTATCAAACCCTGAGTACTACACAATCGATGAAATGGAGCAGAGGGGGGGATCCACCACCCTCGCTCAGCCTTCCCCGGCTCTGCTGCTGGTTTCCATAACCCTGTCCCCAAAGCCTGGCAGCTCAGTAGGAGATCTGGAGCTCAGATTGCCAGGATCAAAGCCAGGCTTAGAGGAAAGGGTTAACTCTTCACAGTCTGAATGGTCCTTGTCACACTGGACTGAGAAAGGACCAGTTTATTGTTGCAGCTTATTTAACTGAGGTATCTGTTACGCATCCCGACCTGATTCTTTCCCTGAATTGGATACAAAACAATCTGTTAGTCCTGGCTAGTTCCAGTCTAGGTTGAGTAAAGCTTATAAACATTAATACTCTAGTAGTGTCAAAGCAGTTCAGTGATTCGAGTGCCTTTCTGTGCAAGAAAACACAACGTTAGCGTGTGAGACAGAATCCACCCCGGACCAACCTCTGCTCCCCAGGGCCAGAGAGCAAAGCAGAAGGAAAAGCAAAAAGTGCCCCAGTCCCACTCAGAGGAAACAGCCCCAGCCCCATCCCCAAATAAAATAAAATAAAAAAAAAACAACAATCAAAAGAAAACAAAAAAAGGGAAAAAGAAAATAATCTCATTGAGCCCCAGAGCCTGGAAAAACCTCTGGGAGTCTGTGAGGATGAAATGCCGTGGAGGCCTGCGGGATCAGCCCAGCTTCCCCATGCTCAGAGGGTGGGCACAACTCCAACTAAAAGCAGCTGGATGGGACATCTCAGAGCAGCATCCATCTGAGGACATGTGCATTCCCACCCTCTGGCTCCCAAACAGTCCTCAGGATGCCAGGTAGTAGGATAACCAACATGGGCACAGATTCTGGAGCTTGGAAAAATCAGAGGGACTTTGGAGACACCCTCGTGTCCAAGATGAAGAACAAATCTAAGTGAGCATCACTCCTGCCCTCTTTTCCTGCCTCTACCTGTCCCCCTGTCATGCACATGTCCTGGGATGATGCTGGAGCTTGGCTCCTGCTGGCCTAAAGGATGGGGAAACCACTGCTGCTTTGCTCAGCCTTGTTTTAACTTTCTGTCTTTGGTGATACATTTAAAAATTAAAAAAAAAAAAACAACAACCAAACAAACACAATGTCAGCAAACCCACATATTAAAAAACCAAGCGATAAGATATGCCAATACTTCCTGAAGAGGTTAAAAAAACAACCCAAAACCAACAAAACCAACCCAACAACAAGTACATATCTGAGGTATTTCATCTGCTCAAAAAACCTGACTTGGGCCTGAAGCATGGGAAGGACGTCACCAGGGCAGGAGGGATGGAGCTTGGATCACCTCTCCGGGCTGGGGAAAGGCCAGAAGGAGAGGGGGACAGCACGAGGCCACCTGAGCAGGAGATGATTTATGGAGTCAGGGCCAACTCTGCTTCCAACTGGAGGTCTGAGGAGAAAGGGCAAGGAAAGGCTTGATTTCCTGTTCTCCACTTTCCCCCGGAGAGCAAAAGGTCTTCGCCGCTCAGGTGCAGTTTGAAGGGGCGTGGGCAGCTGGGTTTGTTCAGAGACAAAACCCCACGTGTATAGCATTAACCACAACACCCACGCACACAAATGTGGCCCCCACGAGATGGATTTCAGGGATGACCTCCTGTTTCTTCAGCACACAGACGTGGGCAGCTTCCAGGGGTATTGGAAGCCACGTCAAGAGGCGGAAGTGATCTCAGGAAAGCCTGGATCGACCCAAGTGACAGTGTCACGGGGGCAGAGGATCAGAGGAGCCACAACAAGCTCAGGCTGTCAGGGTAAAGGTCAGTGGGATGAATTCCTCATGAGAGACAGGCAAGGTCAAGGGCATTTAAAACTTCTGAAAGCCTGAAGGCAACAGGAGGGATCAGGCAGCACCGGCAAGAACCAAGCAGCTGATGGAGAGGGTTTGAATGTGGCAGGGAGGGAGGAACTCCATCCCCTCATGTCAAAACCGTGGAGAGGGGGAAGGAGGCTCACAAGCCTCCTGTGAGGACATACGGAAACAGCAGGAAGGAAACAAGCAGTTTGCCTGTTCTGCAGCACAAGGGAGGACAGGGCAAGGCACCCCGCCGGCTC